TGTCATCATGGGGAGTGGTTCAGTATTACACTACATAATAAATTGCTCCAATCATCATGCCACACAGTAACTTTAATTTAAAGGTGTATAAAGCAGTGAACCTCTGTAACCAGCAGCAACCAATCAGGAATAAGCTTTTACCACCTGTATAGCCCCAAACTAAAAGTGATTTCATTTTTGCTGTTGGCAGGATTTTAGCAAAGCCACTTGGGGTATTGGGCTTGTACATAAAGTTGCAGTGCTAAATTGAAAACAAGTCAATGTTTTGTTCTACAATTGAAATTTAATACCCATTTTTATCCCTTTATATTACAGGAATCTACATTTGAAAGTTGAAAAGGAGAAATCTTCCTTGGCCGCACTTTGCAGTTGTTTTGAAAAACAATTTGTCTAAGTGCATCAACCTCAACACAAAGGGGTGGATGTGTTGCCCTTATCGATCAGACTGGGGTTGGGTTTTTTAACCTACACTATGGGATAATCATATTGGAAATAGAGATTGTTTCTGGTAATTCAGTTTCCCTTTCGCTAGATTTTATTAATAAGCATCCTGATGCTCTGCAATGCTGGCATGTAGATCCCACAACTAATGCTGCAGAATATAGATTTCCATATTTATCTATTCCAATTTCCATTTTTATTCTAATCTATGGTTTTATAAAGGTGATTAGGTGATTAAATTCAATCAATCAATCTTTTCTTTAATGTTTCCCTTGAAAAGCTGATTTTGACTTATCTTAATGACAAAGACTCACACAACCACTTCTGATCACTCAAGCATACTTGAGCCTTTCTTTCCCTCAACATTGCTTTCTGTGGAGATCTGAACAAAATTATACGAAAATTGATCACCTGTATATGTTAAAGATAAAACTGAACAAATCACTCAGCCATTAATCATATGGTTATTGTTTACCAATTCTTGAGTATATAGCATGGAGAAGTTATGAGAGGATGCTGGAAAATTTCTATCTTCACAGGAGTGCTCTAGCCTCAAGTGTCTAGAACCATTCTCTCCTCTTCTTCTTGAAACATTTATTATTCGGAATTATGCTGAACAAATTGGTACTGTATTGCTTCCCCTGTAGGGCTAACTATTGTATACCTCTAGGGGCGGTGTGATCATGATATTCACATAAAAACAAGGAGGAAGATATGATATATTTAAAACAATTTTTAAGAGCAAGGATGTCAGGGCTCAAAATTCTGACGTTGTTAAAGTGAACTTGTGGGCGTTGAACATATTTTAACAAGTAGTAAACAGGCTTTATAACAAGCCCCACATATCTTATTATCTGCAGGCACAGTGGAGTAATTCATCCTCAAAGTTCGAGTTGAGAAACCAAACTAGAATTGACTTCAGTGCTTCTGCTATGAACTTTGAAGATGAATAACTCCACAATGCCTACAGCTAAAATGATCACAAATGGCTTGATAAAAAGCTCAAATGCTGCTTGTTAGGTATATGTCAATGTTTGAATGTTCATTGCTTATGACCACGGTTCAAACTGGCAGCCCTCCAGCTGTTGCCAAACTACACGTCCCATGAGGCATTGCAAGACTGACAGTTACAAGTATGACTCCCAAAAGCATGATGGGACTTGTAGTTTCACAACAGCTGGAGAGCCGCCAGTTTTACACCCCTGGCTTAGACACCGTCACATGAAATAGTAGTCAACTGTTACAGAATACAACAGCCTCAAACAAAACAAAATCAGTTTAAAATACATCTACTAATCCTACAGCTTCACTATTAAGAGTTTGTATGTATGTTTTACATACTGTATTTTGCCAACTGGTGTAAACAGACCAACTGCTTCGTGTTTAATGGCACTTTGATGGCTTATGTTCCCTGACTGATTGTGAAAAAAAAACGAAAAACATTTATACAAGTCAAATCCTGACATCACCGCTCAGTCACAGGCCATGGTTCCCAGATAAGGTGCTCTGAGATGAAAGGGTTAATCATTAAGAAGATATGTTCTGTTGAGGCATTCGGTGGCTGTCCATGTATTCACACACTGAACGGACACCAGAAAATGGTAGATGTGGGAACTCTTACACTACTGAAGCAGAAACACTTGTACAACTTCACATTATCTTTTTTCGAAGTACAAAAACTGGATCTGTACCGTAAAACCATAAACTGTTTTGATTTCAATTTGGCATCTAAAAAGAAAAAAATATATATATATCAAGATTAAAAGAAAAAAAATATTTCTTAGAGATGTCCTCATCCCAGTCTAGTCCAAGATCCTACAGATGAATCTTCTTAAGAAAAAGTTCTATTGGCTCCCGGCTAGAAGCATGTTAGAAAATGAATGCGGAGACTTAAGTTGACTTTGGCCTAGATTATGTAATGTTCATCATTAGGAATGGCAGGGCACAAATGTGTTTTTTGTGCAGCATTTTGAAAATCCCTGTGTGTGTGTCCTTATGGAGAATGTTTGGCACACAGAACTTTGAAGAAATTGTCTTCATTCATCATTGCTGAATCTTGAGTCCCAACATCACAAAGGTCTAAGGCGGTGAGACCTACGCAAGCTTCCTCCTAGGATAGCCTCTGTAGATGTCCGCTCCTCAGGTCACTCCATTTATACAAGCAGGGAAATAAAGCTAGAAGAAGAAAGAAAGAGAGACAATAAAGATTTGATGGAGCAATAAACCTAAAATAGGTCATATTCAAAAATGTTGTGATAGCTCATTTATATGTACTGTATGTGATCCTATCCATGCGGGTAATACAAATTGAAATATCTAACAATATATTTAGCTTTTCTGTTCTGTGTGTTTTGTTCTGAAGGTCTTCTGGCCAGTTTGATAATGTCACCAGTCCTACGTTTTTTCTCCTTCAGTGGAGCTTACACAATGAAATGTGAGTAATTTTCAGTGCAGCAGTACTTGGGGTCTAGGGGCAGGGCTATGACAGCCTGGGCTAAGAGGAGGTGGGATGAATGACACTGGTTGTCATTCAACCCAGAAGACCGCGGTAATCTAGTAACAGAAAATACGATTAAAGCTAAATTTCAGTCTGCAAAACAATAGCTCATTTAAAGTCCTAATCTTCCTCTGAGCCAACGAAGAGGGGGGGAGAGAGGAAAAAGCTTCTGCTCTCATGCAGAGATCGAGATCAGGCTATGGTAAGTATAAGGGGGGGCTGTGAGCTGCATGCAGAAGGTGTTTTTACCCCAATGAATAGAATACATTAAAGTGGATGTAAAGGCTCAAGGTTTTTTAATGTCATGTATTCTATGAATGAAGGTAAAAAAAACCTTCTGTGTGCAGCATCACCCCAGCCCCCTCATTACTTACCTGAGCTCCATCCCAATCCATCAATGTGCACAACAGCCTAAGCAGTTCTGGGTATCTGCCTCCTCACTGGCTGAGACAGCAAGCGGGAGCCAGTCAGCCAATGAGGAGAGAGAGAGGGGGGGGGCAGAGCCCAGCCACGGCTCTGTGTGTGAATGGACACACGGCGCAGAGGCTTGGGAACACCCTGCTCGGGTGCCCCCACAGCAAGCTTCTTGCTATGGGGTCACCCAACAGAAATGAGGGGCCAGGATCACCAGCAGGGGACCCGAAAAGAGGAGGATCGAGGTTTCACTGTGCAAAACCATGGCACACAATAGGTAAGACTAAAGGTTTGTTATTGTAAAATAACAAACATGTTATAATCGCTTTAAGGTAAAAAAGTTTTAAAAAACCTTTATCTTTTACAACCACTTTAAAGTGATCAGTTGCAGATCCCACAAAAAGGTCAACAGTTGTTTAAATGGTGGTCCATGCAATCTTAAAGTGCACCCCTGCAATATTGGCGGACTGCCCAAGGGCCCAGGGTCAGTAGGGGGCCCCATGAGAAGAGCCACACAAGGGCAGTATATTTAGGTCTGTCTGGGTTTCAGGTGGACACATTATTCAGACACATTATTCAAAACAGGAATGTGGCTCAGAGGGGGGCCTGATAGGTGGGTGAGGAAAGTCCAGGATGGGAGCAGAGGAGGAGGAGGGAGAAACATGAGAGACCCAACCAAGAGGGAACTACCAGTGATGGTGAGGGGAGAAGGTGGCGGCGGCGGCGGCCCCTGATCCCAGAAGTAGCTCATATCTAATGTAGTGGCAGAGCAGGTCAGGGTCGCAGGCTGTCATGCCTCACTACACGCATCGGTGATGGAGCCAGCAAGCAGTAGGAAGGTGAGAGTCCATAATATTAGGTTACATGACTGCACACTGACTCCTTAACCAAGGCTGATGTAGTGCTCCGGGAAACCTGCTGATAGGATTTTCAGAATACAGTATACATTTTTTGGGGGGGGAATATCCTGGTGTAATTTTAGGGGGGGGGGGTCTCCTGGTGTAGAATGGGCGGAGGGATAGGGGAGCCCCCCTCTCTCACCCCCCCTCTCTCTGTCCCCGTTTATCAGACCCTTTTATAGCCACTCTCCTGTAAAACAGGCAAAGCCAGGGCATCCCCAATAACACTGTGCGAGCACCAACACTGCCTAGTGATACCCAGTACAACTAGGAAAAAAGCTGCAAGTACCTATTTCACTGCACATAGAAATCTGCGGGTAAGGCAATTACAAAATATTTCAACGTTTGTTTTTAATCTGTTCAGGAACGTGTTTTACTATGGTTCATCGGACCTCAAACCTGGCTCTGGAGATCTGCATGAAGCCCCCCCGTGCCACCACAGTATTGCTGTGTTTTACCATTGGGCATGCATTATTTTAGGCCAACTGGTTACCATTCATCCCCATATAGCAGGCATGTCCAAAGTCCGGCCCGCGGGCCATTTACGGCCCGAGGGTCGGTTTAATACGGCCCTCCATGTCAGTGGGTCAGTGTGTCTTATGGAGCGAATATGGAGCGGCCGGTCCGGTATTTCCACCGCGGCCGTGTCAGAATACCGGGCCGGCCGCTCAGCTCTGCGGCGGGACCTTACCTGTTCCTCTATCCAGCGGCGCGCTGTCTTCCCGGCTTCTGTAGTGTGGGCGCTGGGCATGACAGCCGGGTGCCAAGTGCGCATGCGCAAGAAGCGGTGCTTTTTGTGAATGGTAAGGCGGTACCTGGGACACATGACAGATCCCAGAAGCCGCCGGACCAATCACAAAGCGCAAGTGCTTCTCGCTCATGCGCACTGGGCACCCGGCTGTCATGCCGAGCCCATTACAGAAGCCGGGAAGACAGCGCGCGGCTGGATCGAGGAACAGGTAAGATCAAAGAACAACTGCGGAAGTAAGAGCGGGTACCTGTCAAATTCAGGTACCCGCTCCCCACCTCCCCAAAGGTCAGCAGTCATCTGTACTGTCCGCAGTCTCTGGTCATCCCTGTGCTGTCCGCAGTCTCTGGTCATCCCTGTGCTGTCCGCAGTCTCTGGTCATCCCTGTGCTGTCCGCAGTCTCTGGTCATCTCCTGTACTGTCCGCAGTCTCTGGTCATCTCCTGTACTGTCCGCAGTCTCTGGTCATCTCCTGTACTGTGTCTGCAGTCCATTAGTTGAGAATTTTTTTTTTCCTGTTTTCTGCCTCTAAAACCTAGGTGCGTCTTATGGTCAGGTGCGTCTTATACGGCGAAAAATACGTTAACTTGGCATAAAATAATTTATTTGCATTTAATTGTAATGGTTCAAAGAATGTTTGGATGAAGTGAACATGGTGGAGGGCCGAACATTTTTCCAATCTGGCCCTCTTTGAAAAAAGTTTGGACACCCCTGCCATATAGTAATTCATCCCCCATATAGTAATTCATCCCCCCTATAGTAATTCATCCCCCCTATAGTAATTCATCCCCCCTATAGTAATTCATTCCCCATATTGTGTCAATTCACTTACCTTTGCTCCGCGCATTCCTCTCGCCGTGTTCCCGCGCCGTTCCGGTCTTCAGGGCAGACTGTGAGAGAGAGGAGTTCGTCACGCTGCCCCGCCTACATCCTGACAGCCAATGTTTGCCACGCTCTGCGGGCCGGATTAAAAGGTCCGCCGGGCCGTAGTTTGCAGCTAGCCCAGCAATGGGCAGAGTCCTGACTTTTGGGGGGCGGCCGCCCGAGAGGAGGGAGGGGAGGGGGAGCGGGCGCCCAGCACACAGAAGAGCCGCATTGAAGTGTGTAAAGAGCCGCATGTGGCTCGCGAGCCGCGGCTTGCCGACCACTGGCCTAGGAGGTGAACTGAGAGGAGTGGGCACCCTGACGCATCACTGTATATAGTGATGGAGGTAGGCAGAGTTGGGGTGTTGGGATGTGGGGTAAAGAAACATGCTTTTTCTGCAGGAGGCTATGTCTTTATACAACAAGCATTACAAAAGCTGTTATTATTGTGTATACATTCAGGGAAACATCCCTCACGTCAGATTCACAAAAAGGCCATCATTTATTAGCAATTTACCTATCATATGAGTCATTCAAGCTCTAGTCCGATGGATGCTCCGGACAAGATCTGTTTACTTCAAACCATTCATCTATGCAGCTGGAGGAAACAGAAGAGCACATAGAAAGATCATTATATATGATGTAAAACATGAAAACAGATGCAGCTGAGTAGTAGTAGTACTATTGTCTGTCCATGTCTTGGTCACCAAGCATGGCTCCTGGGACTTACCATACCTCCTGCTCAGCATGGCATAGCTAAGTAGGTTTAAAAGGAGGAAACCTAACTCGGCTTTCACCATGGAATGACAGCTTTCAGTTCTCTGACTGTGTAAGCCGTGCTCAGAATCAACATGTTATGAAAGAGGTGCCCACAGATCAGAATAGTAAATGAACCCTCTAAATTTCAACAGGTCCTCATTTTACTGCGACTTTCTGCCTTTCTGCTTTCTTCATTAAAGAGGTGTGCAAATTTAGGAATCTGGAAAGTTCACTATAGAATCTTAGCCTTTAATTCTGGCTTCTCATCATACACAGGCAGCTTGTTACTGACATTGGGAGTTAATATGATGATATTAGAGTGTTAATGAACCAATTAAAAAAAAATTGAATATTAATAGTTGACAAAGTGTGCCTAATTTGTTTTATATATTAATTCTTTTATCGTAATTATTTTAGAAGGAGTAGGTTTATTCTGGTAATGTCCCCTCTTACTAGCAACTTTTACATTTTAACCACTTCCCATCCAGCCCATGTATATAAAACGGCCAGACGGGAGCGGTGCAGGGGCGGATGGCCGTTTATAAACGGCCTCCCCCACCTCCTGCTTGTGCGCGCTTCCTGGGAGCACGCAGCACCGCGATCTGGTGCTCGCTGACACAGAAGAACACCGATCGTTGTACGGGACCTCTATGTGAGGTCCAGATCATGTGATCACTGATTGGCCAATCAGTGATCACATAAATAGTAGTAAGCAAGATGTCACTTTTGACATCATTGCTTACTACTAGTGAAATCTGTGAATGATCACAGAGGTCACATGGTACAAGGCTATTCACAACAGCCTTGTACCATGTGACAAGCTGTGACTAATCACAGCTCTCACAGTATTTCTCAATGGCTGCAAGAATGCAGCCAGAGAGAAGGAGAAATGATTGATTGCTTTTGCACCCATAAAGGCTGTAAAAACAGTGTAAATAAAAAAAAAAAAAAAAAAAAAAAAAAAAAAAAATCACTCCCCACAAGCAGTACAGTGTCACTATGGTGACACTACTGCTAGGTTGATAGTATGTTAAAAAAAAAAAAAAAATAGAAATGTAAAAACATTTTTGAAAAATTAAAATTTTTGGTTTTTTTTTTTTTTTTACAAAAAAAATAACTGAATACATTTTGGCCAAGATTATTTATTTGCAAAATTGTATACGAAAAAAACTTTTTTTTTCATGTTTGGAATTTTTCATTTATATAGCAAAAAAATAAAATTCCCAGTGGTGAATTAAAATCACCAAAATAAAAGTTTTATCTATCTCAAAAAAATTCTAAAAATTCATATGGGTACAGTGTTGCATGATCGCGCAATTGTCATTCAAAGTGTGATAGCACTGAAAGGTGAAAATTGGCCTGGACAGGAAGGGGTTGAAAATGCCCAGACTTGAAGTGGTTAATAACTGTTGGTACATGATTTTACCCTGGCATTAGCCCCTATACAGCAAAGGACACTGGGAAAGGAAGAAGCAGCACTAAGTCAGTTTAGCTGCAGTGCTCATATGCTAGCATATTAAAGGGGCCAAAGAAGGAGTGAAATGAGCTTATTAGTCAGGTGCTTTTTCTTTACTGTCCAGTAACAGGCTGTGGTGAGGAGAAAACATGTAAATGTAACTACAACAGATCAGGTCTCCTGCTCCGCTAGACAGGACCAGGGGCGGACTGATCATTTGGGAACTCGGGCACTGCCCGAGGGCCCAGGGTCGGAAGGGGGCCCCATGAGATGAACCTGGTACCTTTCATAGGCTTTTTTGGGTGTGGTTTGAGTGTGGGCAAGGACACAGGGGCCCCATGATCCCCTATTGCCCGGGGGCCCCATGAGTTGTCAGTCCACCCCTGGACAGGACTATACTGTATGACAGTGCTGTGTAAATCTCAGCTTTTCTGAAAATAATACGAATATTGCATATTGTGACATGTCAGGAAGGCTTGTGACATGTAATTGAGACTTAATTGTAATTGGAGAGGCCCACTTTAGTAAAGAACAAAATTCTAACCTTTAGCATTTCATCTGAATCTTTAAATACAAGTTCACTCTCATTAAAAAAGAAAAAGTCCCTAGAAGGAGGGTTCCCCATGCCCCCTCTGCCTTGTAGGGCCCCACAGAGACCTTGGAGGCAGTGCGGGCCCCACTTCCTACCACATCAGGCAGTGTACACTCATTTCTCAGTCAGTGTCATCTCAGATCTCCCATTTATTTCCATTCCAATTGCAGTCATGCTGGCACACTGCAGCACAGAAGCCCAGACAAAGCATAGATTTAAATGAGAGTCGGTATGTGAGAAGTGGGGCCAAGCTACACATTGGGTCTGTATGGGGGCATGCAAGGTAGGAGAGGGATGAGGAATCTTCCCTGGGTTATGTTTATATAAATTGTACTTTAACAGTCTGTAATTTAAAATGGGTAGCACAGTGGCTAAACGGTTAGCACTTCCGCCTGGCAGTACTCGGGTCGTCGGTTCGAATCCCAACCACAGCACCACCTGTCTGGAGTTTGCATATTCTCCCTGTGCCTGCGTGGGTTTCCTCTGGGTACTCCGGTTTCCTCCCACACTCCAAAGACATGCTGGTAGGTTAATTGGCTCCTGTCTAAATTGGCCCTAGTATGTATGAATGTAAGTTAGGGACCTTAGATTGTACGCCCCTTGAGGGTTAGGGACTGATGTGAATGTACAATATATATATGTAAAGCGCTGTGTAAATCAACGGCGCTATATAAGTACCTGTAATAAATAATAAAATAATTACCATATGTATCTAGCGAATTAACATTTTGTCTAAATACTATGCAAGTTCTAAAAGCTTGCTTTTTAATATTTTTGGAGATCCACTGTAGGATTTGACAATATTCTTAGCCTGGTATACCTGCGTAAGCATTTTTCTAACCTTCATGATTCAGAAGGTTAGAAAAATAGGTTTCAGATTGTTTCTAGAACACAAAACTGGAGTCACGATGAGGCAGCAAATTTCATAAGGTAGACGGTTGCCCTTTGTTTGGAGAAATGTTTACTTTCTACTAGTTAATTTATACCAACCGATGCAAGTCACCATACTGAAACTTTTGCTGATTAGCAGAAGGAGGGAATGCTGGGTAATAAGAGCTAAATCTTTCAATGCAAGTATGATGTTAGTCCATGACTCTATCCAGAATTTAGGGGCCCGTTTACACCACTGCGGTGTGGTAACATGCTTTATACCCATTGGTGCAATTCAGTGCCAATCGGGCTGAGGATCCATCCACGCAAGTCCGGTCTGCTGTGGTGCGTTAATCAAGCCAGCTGCAAGTTTAGTGTACAAGACAATGTCAATTTCTCTGTCTTTTTAATTACAACACAAACTGAGCCCATTCTCACAAGCCCTAACAGAATACAAGCCCTGATGAAGAAGGGGTGCTTCACCCTCCCCCCAAAACGTGTTGGCAGTTTTAAATCATTTTGTTATGAATCAATTAACCGCTTCCGGCCCAGCCTACAATAATATGACGGCTGGGCGGGAGCACCCTGGTTCCACAAGGACTTCATATGACATCCTCCAAGTCACGCTCCTCCTGCATGCTCTGGAAACCGCTCTGCAGCTGTCACCCGCTGTGTCCAGCAGACACAGTAGATGATAGATCATGTACTGGGCCGGCTCTGGTATCATGTGATTGCTGTGATTGGTCACTTGACAATTGTACACAATGAATTTCTTTAATTCATAGGACTCTAACCAAGAAAAACGAATGGGGATTTAGAGATACCAAACCATATCAATGAGCATAAATTGTGCAAAAATGTCAGTTTATAAAATTGAACACTTTTTATTAGGGTAAAAAGAACCACTAACAGGTGGAGCATAATCATCAAACATATACATGGAAAACTTTTGTCCACAGCCTACCCTTTATGTCTAGCTGTTGGTTATATGTGATGCCCGTGACGCCCCTTTGCCTCTAGGCCAGGGCTTGAAAAGCCACTCTCCCGCTAGGCAAATGCGAGGAGAAATTCTTGTGTGGCGATCGGCGAGCACAGATGATGGAGTGGCTGCACCTGAGCTCCAAGCATCATTGTGAAACCAAGTTCTGCTTTACGGCTTCTTCGGCACCGCCATTACACTCGCAGCGCCGCTAACGGGACAGGTGCAGGAGAGGTCCACTCTCCTGCGCTGAGAGGAGACACCCGCTCCCCAGCCGCAGGGGACTCGAGGAGAGGTCCGCTCTCCCCCACCACGGGGGACACAAGGAGGGCCCGCTCTCTACCACCTTGGGGATCACACACAGCCATTGAAGTGGTATTTTGCATCAGAGAAAGGCTATTACACAAGTCTTGGTCCTGCTGTAAAACACAAACCATGGCTGCTCTATTAGCACATCTATGGTAAAATGTTTATTATTGTTATGCCATGTTTTTTGGCATCCAAATAAACACTTTTTTGCTTTTTCTTAATGCACTACTTCTCTTAGCTCTCTTTTGATAAGATGCAAAATGTTTACTATCGTTATTTTATGCAATGTTTTTTGGCCATCAAAAGAGGCACTTTTTTCTTTTTTTCTTAATACCACACTTCTCTAAGGTCTCTGCTAGAGATAAAAAATACAACATGTTTGCAG